TCTCTCTCTCTCTCTCTCTCTCTCTCTCTCTCTCTCACACACACACACACACACACACACACACAGGAATGCTGCTATCCAATGTACCATATTTTTCGGAGTATAAAAAAGAGGCTGAATATCAAAAAAGAGGCTGAAAATCTGGGTGCATCTTATACACTGAATACAGCATTTTTGCCTCCTGAAACCCCGCTCCCTTCACTAAAATTGCCGTGCATAGCTTGTAGGAGGCTGGGGCTGGGGAGGGCAGATATGAGCAAAAAACAGCCCATTTTTTGCCCAATTTTGCCCCCCCCCCAGTCCCCAGGAGCACTCTATAAGCTTCCCAGTGCCCTTTTTTGACAAAAACAGGCCCATTTTTGTGAAAAATGGATGTTTGTTTGCTCATTTTTGTCCCCCCCCCTTCAGGAACACTCTTCAAGCCTCCTAACGGCTATTCATGCCCTTTTTTTGGAAAAAAAAATGAGCCCGTTTTTGTGAAAAATGGGCCATTTGGGGGAGGTTTGCAGAGTACAAAAACTTTTTTTTATTTGCCTCTTCAAACCTTGGTGCATCTTATACTCTGAAAAATACGGTAGATATTTTTCTGCAGGAAGAAAGGTATCCTTAATTATATGCTATGAAATTATGTTTCTTTTAGGTTTTGTCTGGTGTACAGAATGTTTAAATGCTTTGCCATTCCTGTAGGAGTTATTAAAATATTAACTGTGATTTTTATTCATAAATATTACCTAAAAAAGAAACACATTAATTTTGAATGAAATTCCAAGTCAGTAAATTTAAGAATTTGCATTGCCACAAATGGCAATCATGTGGCTGAGGGATGCCCACAATGTAAGTGTGAGCCAGCTGCCAAGCACCCAGATTGCAAGCATGTGAACGTTTGGATACATGGACTTGTCATAATTTTGGTCACTGAACAAATGGTTGGTAAGTGAGAATTACTGAGATTGAATATGATAATAGTGATACCGAGAAAAGAGACAATAAAGTGAATATTAAGAAACTGTAGCAAGTCCACTCTTCAGCCTGTGGATCTTCCTGTGTAAAGGATTTATGATTACTGATCATTTACACATTTTTTAAAAAGGGGTGCTCCATTGTGTATATTTTTTAAGTGAATAGGACAAAAATGCTTTGGTTCTCTTGTAAACATAACTCTTCTCTGCTACTTATGAAACCAGCCCTACTTTTTTTAGGCTTGGGATTTTTTTTGTTCAGATTGACATTTAATGAAAAACAGAAAGCTCCTGTTCTTGCATGTTTTCCCGAAAACAAGACAGGGTCTTATTTTCTTTTGACCCCCAAAATAAGCGCTTGGCCTTATTTTCGGGGAGGAATTATTATTTTTTAGGTGCAGGAGGCAGCAAGCGTGGTCATCTCATGGCTGCTGCTGTGTTTCAATATTTTTTTGAGGGGTGGTTATTTTTGGGGGAAAGCTTATTTTAGCATATGCGCTCAAAAGCCTGATTGGGCTTATTATCTGGGGAGGTGTTATTTTCAGGGAAACAGGGTGCCTAATATTCAGGTTCAGAGAACAAATACGTTGTGTCAATCTATTATAGAGAATAAAGAGCAGTATAGAGAAAAACTATATGCCTTTGTATGCCTCAGTGCCTTGATAATGATTGATAGTTGGTGGGTACCAATTATTATTGCTGCTTCAATATCCAGCAAATTGTTCAGGATACATATATGATCAAAACAGAATTAGTATTTGTCCAACTGTAGATGCTTCATTTTCATCCAACATTTGTTAGAGTGTCAGAAGGCACATGCAATGTATGCTTACTGCATCCATCAGACAACGATATGGGAAAGTAATACATAATATGAAGGTATGGCAATAAATTTCTCTACTCTGACTCACCTCACTTGTATCTATGCTGTGTCCTTAATGGTTCATTATTATCTTACATTATTTAAGAACGTTACTGCTTCCAAAAAGGACTATATTTCTAACAGCAGAAAGTTAATTGCTTAAAATTAAACTCATAATTGAACTGATAGTTTCTCTTGTCTGCCTATCTCTTGCTCTAATTTTTCTAGACTACACAAACTAGTCTTCATTGTAAGGGTAGTTCCAATTTTATTGATTTCTCTCATCTTACCTGGTTAATTAAAACATACACATCAATACTGAATATTCCTTTGCTCTTTCTAAATAAAATAAACTGCCTGAAGAGAAACTCATAGCTTAACTATTGAACCTAATATAGTAGTATTGAAATTTACCCATATGGTATGGTGAATTCAATTAAACTGGCAGCATACAAAGGGAGTATATATATATATTAAACTCATATAAACTCTCTCTATATAGTATTATCACTCACTACAAATACTAAGACTTGAATTTTAAGTCAAAGTCAAAAAATGTCATTGTCCTGAGTTTTAAGATATTTAAAATCTACAGTAATCAGATTATAAATCTAAATATGAGTTCTCCATAAAGTAAATTTACAGTATATTTATAGAAGATTAATAGCAAATAGAAGAACAAATAGTTGTTGCATCTCCCATCAGTTTTTTCTTTAGTCCTTTCATCCACCTATGGCGTAAATCTGGACCTATCTTGGTGAACAACATAATAAAAATGATTTATTTGATTGTTATTGGAGTGGAGATAGAGGTGGGACTGATTGCTTTTTTATTGCTTTTATACTGGGTGTTAATCTTGATAAGCTGCCAGAGTCACTGAGAATAAGTTGGGCAGCCATATAAATTTTCTTACATAAATAAATAATAAATAAAATAAAAAGACACAACGACTATCTTGTCCTTCTACATCAATATTATAGAACTAAAAAAATTCCAAGTTTGATGTCAGCGTTCCAAATATCATGCAGGCCTGACATTAGGCTTATAACAGATAGTTCCTCTTGATTTATAATGAACATGCTTTAAAAGTGAATTGCTCCAAAGATTACTTTGTCATAATTTATATAATCATAATTTATTGAACATGATTCAGTTGTTGAAGTAACACGTGGTAAGCCAAAATCAAATGAAACACATTCTGGCTTAGTGAATATGTGAATCTAATCGTTGCCAAATATACTCTATTGTAAATAATGTTTGTATCATTAAAAAATAGTGTTTATAGATCAGTAAACAAGTTTAGAATACATACATTAGTAGAACTGTGGTATCCATAAAGCTGGAGACGCTGATATATAGTAGTATGAGTGAAGAGTTGAATTTCAAAATAAAACCAATAGAAAAAAAAGGAAAGAAATCAGAAATTAGTAAGATATACAAACCTATATTAAAACATATTATATACAATGCTTTACAGCTAAGGTTATAAGCCACATTTTAATATGTAGATTTTTAATTACCTTTAGATCACATTTTGACCTTAAAAATACAATTGTGCAAGACTAATAAGAAACAGAGTTTCTTATACAGACATTTTTTTTAAGGAAGTCACAATTGTTCATACAAAGTGTTAGAATCTTTTTCTTTTTGGTTGGTTCTGGCTCTTCCAAAGAAAGGAATAAAGCTGCTGGAGGAGATGAAAGAAGAAATTGCAAGGTTGGTTCTAACATCTGAAATTCTCTTATTTAAAGAGCTCTTCATTGGTACAAATGATCTATTTACAAACATCTGATTATGTCTGCTACTTTTTTTGTGTGTCTATCTCTTCTGTTACCAGCAAAAACCTCCAGAGGCTTAGGTGCCCTTCATGCTATTAACCTATATTTTTAAAATATCCCATGTAACATTTGGAATAGGCTCTCATTTACTTTTGAGAATTACTTTTAAATAAAACCCAAGGCTTTTGGAAGGTACATATAAGGTGTTTTGAGATAATTATCCATAATAGGTACCATTCAAATGAGGTATTAGATACTTAACAGAGACATTTTAGCAAGGATGGTTATTACTGATGATGGAAACATTTTAAATGGTTTTTTAAATAAAAAAATGGTATACCAAATAATATTAAAGTAATTGAGGAAGTATTTTACTGCAGTTTAGAAAAATCCTCAGTATGGTAGTCATGTAAAAATATTACATCTATAATAGATAAAGTAAATTTGAGTTTAGCTGTAATAGTTTTAACTGTCCAATAAATTATTTTTCATGTCAAAACCATATTCCCTTTCAAAAAAGATGGAAGGGCAATGCTAAAAATTACTAAACTTATTTTCCCTAATCAAAATCCGGTGCGATTATACTTGCAGCTTACAATGCTGTAGAAAAATAATGATTTATTTCCAGCAATCTGAAGATATATTTGCTTGATTTTAAATCAGATTTTGTGCTTCTACAATTTCTGTTTCAGTTAAAGTTTGAACTATGATAAAGGCTCATGTTCACCAGAAAAGAATATGAGCAACTGCTGTTATTACTATTATTGTACTATTCTTATCCTACTGAGAACAACATTCAAAGAATTATGAAAAACTTATTTGTTAAAAATCCTTACCAGCATTGCACGCTTTTCTTCATCTCCTTTTCTTTCTTTCTTCTCATTTTTCTTTCTAAATATGTCTTGCAGCTGAAAAAAAAAAGTATAATCTATGGTTATTTATTTTAACAATGTTTATGGGCAATACCTTAGTCATAATACTTTGGGATATGATGTAGGAAAAGAGACCCTTAGCTTCAGCTGAATAATATAAGTAATATCACTGATACTTATTTTTAATATAATAGTTTTAAATAGCTTTTAACTGCTATTCTCCCATAGATAAAAGCAAATGCAGTATTATGTTAAGCAGCACATTGAAATCTCAATTTATTAATAAATGAAGTTTGACAGTTTGACATTAGGTCCTATGCAAACAAATACTGTAGATGTTGAGAGTTTCCTCTAAGAACTGTCATTTGAATCTTCTTTATTAGTAGCAGGAACCAACTCTGTAAGTTTGCATCTGATTCAATTAACTTATAGACATACCTGATTGACATGCTACATTTAATATTATGGAATAGGTACAAAAACCCTGGGCCAAAGATAATATGAAGTCTATCAGGTGGTATATTGTAGCTTTAACTTCCTCTGCCCAATTCTTTTATTAATTGATTCGCTCTGAATTGTAAGGCCTCTCATCTCACAAAAGTGAATAAAAATGCAAAATAAGCAACAATAAACAATTGCCCCTACCCATGCTGGAAGTGGAGGCTTGCTGTGTAACCCATCAGTCAAGAACCTTGGTAGGCAGGATCCAAAAGAGCCTTCTCTGTTATGCGCCAACCCTCTGGAACATCCTGCCCCCTGGGGTAAGGTTTGTCCCTACCTTCTCCAAGGATCTAAAGACCAGGCTTTGCTGGTTGGCGTGGGGTCTCATTACCACACTGGAGGTGGCTACTGGACTAATTAGCTGACACGACCACCTCATTGTGCTTCCTGCTTCCCCTCCGCCCATCTTTTAATTTACATTATTGTATTTTATTGCTAATTTTTATTGTTTTCATTGCTTTGCTAGTGTTTGTTTAGATTTTTTATCATTTTTTTCTGTTTCACTTACAGCAAGCAATCTAACAATAAATAATATAAAAATTAAAAATAGAAAAAGCAAAATAAAAACCCTATAACAGCAACCATTATCAACATCAGTATGCTCACATGTGCATAAGAGAAAAAAATGTTGCATTTTGTTTGTGTGTATTGGAGAATGTAAGGCAAGAAATTGTGTTTTTGATCATTCATATATATATANAAATCTACAATCTACAATCTATTTAGATTCCAATTACTTTTTCTTTCAATGTAAACTATTTTCCTTCCTCTCCCACATTCCTTTCCTACTGTCAGTCAGGACTATATGAACACTATGCATCTTCAGTATTGGACTATGAATAAATTTTAGTTTTCATATTTAAGCATATCTATCTAGAAATGAATTCTTTAGGAAAGGTCCACCCCCCCACCCCCAGTTAATAAGTAACAAGGTTAGGATGCTGAAAATAATATGGCTATGAAAATTCTGTAGGGGCCTGGGGCACTTGTTAGAAATCTTACTTGTTCTTCTGGGATACTGCAGCGCACATTTTCCAGATAGCTTGATGTATTTTCCACATTTGTATATCTTAATAGTATATGTGCAAAGTCTTCCTCACTGATGGTGGTCATTCCATTAGAATAGGAAAGGAATTCTATCTCAAGAACTTCAGTTTGGAGGTTGTCCATAAACCTAGTTTATGAAAATACTGATATCAGAGTCTTAAAGATTATGGGGTAGGCGGGGGAGTAATAGCAAATAGCTCTAATGTTTAAATTCTGCTGTAGAATAATTCCTACTATTAATTCAGAGACTAAAACACTAGCAACAATATATTCAGCTATGATATTTTTCAAACACCAATTCATCAAAAGATAAAGCAATTTAAAAAAGTATTTTCCTTTAAACAATGCTTGAAGGATCTGAATTTGTAAATATGTTGCAGGAAATCAGATAGGTTGTAGTCACTTGTTTATTTCATTCTCTATGAATAATTCATATTATTAATTTCTCTGCCAAAAGCTAAGGCCCATATTCCTCTTAGTGCTGCTATAATTATTGAATTTTTTTTTTTTAAAAAAATCTATTATATAGCCTCTTCAATTTGGCTTTTCTGCATTTCATGGTAAAATATCTTTTTTCGACATTAGGAACAAGTTCATCCAAGCAGATTTTTTTCCTTTTTATTCAAGATAAGAAAAACACCTTCCAAAAATATAAGACATACATAAAAACATAATATATATTCAAAGTATAAAATAAAGTCACCTGTAAAAATCTTCAAAGTTAAGCTCAGCCTTTCCTTTCTTTCCAAAAAAGTGTATTAGCAATGTAGTATCAGAATGTAAACTGGTAAAGTCATCTGCATGCTTAAAAACACATTAGCATTAACAATAAATTTAATACATAATTTTAGAAACAAAAATAACTCAAAATATTAACAATGAATTTTATTTAAAAATATCATTGTCCCTCATTAAACTAATACATATTTTACAAAACCAGTTAGTAATTAATATATTAATTTTATATAGTTAGTAATTAATATATTAATGTTTATAAAATAATTTTACAATTTATTTGTAAATCACCCAGAGAAAGTGAGGTGGACAGTTTCTAAATTTGATAAATAAATAAAAATTAATCTTGCTCACAGATTATGTAAATAATATGTTATTGTCTTAATTAAACAAACATAACATACTGATGTACAGATATATCAGTGATAGTTAAAAACAGTTTAAAATTGGGTGAAATGAATTACAGAAACTAAACAAGATATTTAATATTTTAGTTGAATTATATTAAAAAGGTAAATCATGATTTTTCTTTAATTCCTTCTTTAATATAAAAATGAAAAATGAATTTGTTGTGGGAAATAAACTTATTAAGGTATTTTAGATGCTCATCAGATTTTGGTCCTAAGAATCTAATTGCATCTCATAAAAATCTATACATGTGAAAATGTTAACATTTCTACTACATGTGGAAAAGCCTCAAATATGAATGAAAGTTGGGATTATAAGAAGCTGCTTTATAGATTAAAATATAAATTCACAATTTCTGATTTAAATTTACTGTTTAAAATTTTGGTAGTAAATATTACCAGGCATGGATTTTTCATACATGACTAATTAATTTTCAGTTTCATAAGTGACAGAATCCAGATGTAGTTATTTGATAGCAAACTGCAGTAGTTGTTTGTAATAGAGTACTCTGCCTTATTTCTAGGAGGGGGGGAGCAGAGTAATGTTTCTTCTCTTGTTTACAACTTGCATTTCTATGACAGACTTGGCTGAAGTCATCAGGACAACTGCTATGTAAGAACAAGATCATACGTGGTGATTAGCTCATGCAAGACTTATTGAGCAGCCCATATCCTTTACAAGCTGTAAGAGTTTTTTATGAACTGGGACAGAATTATTTAATTTTCTTTTCTTTCTCCCATCTCCTTTCCCTTTGTCAGATCACTGTTTGCATTGTCAAGGCTATGTTAAAAATATGAATTTATTATTATTTGCTACAGGTGCTTTTCCAGTAGAAGGAGAAACTTCTTTTCAAATCATTATATTGTTACCCCAGGTTTGCATTGCTTCTTCAGAAGCTGTTCCTGGCTGCTTATATATGTGGAAGTTTCCAAAAATTTTGACTTTAGTTGGATGAAGCTTTAGTATGAGTTGTTTCATAGAAGATTATCAATTTAGGCCAATATCCTAGAATCTTTAACACTAATACAGCTGGAGGTTTTCAGGAGGGGGCTTCGAAACCTTCAAATGTAAAGTCTAATTCTAAGTATGTGGGAAGAATATTTATGCTTATGGATTTTTTATGTCACATGGTAAATAAGTATCAAATATTTCTGGTGTACAAGTCACAATATTAATTCTGTCATTGTAAAGATTAAATATCATAGCTCAAAAGACAAACACTCTGAATTCAATGATAAATGCTTAATAAATACAGGTACCAAAGAAATGCCAATGGACAAATGAAAAAAAAAACCAACCTAAAGGGAGACAAAAAATATTTTTAAAGACAGAATATTTACAATGAGGAAAACAATAAAACTGCATAGGAAACAATGAAAGACTTTTATGGGATATACAGAGGTTTTATTATACCTCTGCGAGGTCTGAAAAGAGTGCCTGACTTGTGCTACGTCTCAGAGTGTCCCAATAGCTTCTTGGAACAAGATCCTCTCCAGCTGTTTTGAGCACCTGTAGAATTTTGAAAAAGCATAGATGTTGGGGAGAGGGAAAAAAACCAGTCAGCAAGAATAGCTATATACTGTAATATCTTTGCAATGGTCTGAGAACCATTTCCTCATTTATCATATAGTTTTACAATTATATGATTTCTTAAAGAGTAACTTTTTTATCTAAAACATTCAGTTTTAAATTACATATAGAAAAACAAGTCTGAAACAGTGTCTCTCTCTCCCTCTCTCTCTCTCTCTCTCTCTCTCTCTCTCTCTCACACACACACACACACACACACACACAGGAATGCTGCTATCCAATGTACCATATTTTTCGGAGTATAAAAAAGAGGCTGAATATCAAAAAAGAGGCTGAAAATCTGGGTG